ATGAAAAGGCCTTAAGTCACTCAAATTGTCATGCTTTACAATTTCAGATTGTCGAAAAGAAAGCATCACAACTATTTCAGGTGTTCATGATTTAACAAATCAAGAACTGTAAATGACACTTATTCCAAATCTGAAGCAGCAATTTTTCTCCAAGAGCTGATGTTTATTCATACTCATAAAAGAAACCACCAACCCGCCCCCCCCAAATAATCCTTGGGTCTTCTGCTAGAGTGAATATATTATATTTTGCAATAGAGAAGGTACTTCACAGCTTCAAATTCATTATTCGTATTATTGTTAAAGAAATATGCTTAAGCCATTACTAACAGCAACTTCAATAAAGTTAATATTTGTGCCTTTGATCTGAGGGCTGATATATCTTTAAAGTCACAATGCCTGGCATATACAACTTTCTCTGATAAAAAGAAAATTGAGCAAGCTGCTAGTTCTGCAGTCTTTCTAGAATTCTAGATCAGCTGTTATCTTTCCTTTTCCAAAAATAAAACATGTGCAAGAGAACTGCTTACAAGTTTCAGTATTATGCAGAATATTAAAATATCTCTTTTTATAATACTCTAGTGACTCTGAAGTCTGTCTTTTAGAAAACCATACATATAGTGTGTTGGAAAAAGTATTAACTATTAAACTAAAAGAATTACTAATAAAAATCATCAACTACTTGGAGTTCATTTATTCCAAAAGTAAGTAATGTTAAAATTACATCAACTTTGAAGAATTATTTTAGATAAAATGCTGCAAATCTGCTCAAGATATCTGAAGGCAACTAAACATTATTTATATTTTATACAATTTATATTTATTATTCATCTTGAAATAAAATCAGTATTATATTATTAGATACCATAACTCACTCTTCAGAACTGATTAGTACCTATATTTTATATTTAAAGTACTGAACAAGAGGACAGCTTATTTGTAAAAGTACTGTATTTGTTCACATACAATTTTATCTTTAAAATGCTTGGAAAAACTTTTATCTTCCTTCTAGCCTCTCAAATCCCCTAAACGGGATAATGATGAAATTTCTGTGATAACCTGGTTTCCCCCGCAATGGATTTTGGATGATAATATATAACCACACAAAATTATCATGTTTTCCTATGTCACAATTATAGTTATAATGCACTGAATATTTATTATTTCTAGCAATAAAAACACTGAATATATAATAGAACAATGGTGCCTATGCAAAACACCTAAAATGCAAATTATAGATATGGCGTTTTTAGAAAACAAAAATCTTAACAATACCCCCAAAACCATCCATTTATGTTAAAGTGCAATAGCCCAATACTTGTGCTGGAAATGCAGAAAGGCAGTTCCCATTGTTTTAATATATTCAAGTAGCCCTCGATTTATATCAGCAATTGGGGCTGGAATTTCTGTCACTAAGCAATGCGGTCATTAAATTAATCCTGTGTTTGTCAGTTCGAGGCAACTTTCTGCGAACTTCCCTCAACCAAGTCAGCTGGTAAGATGGTTTGCATGAAGGCCGGCAAGAAGCATCTAATACTGTAGACATTGGTCAGAAAAACATTGAGTCTCCACTCCAAAACCAAGTAAGTTTTCTCATTTCAAGAAATTTGGATTTCATGTAAAACTCCAACCCCTAAAGTTTGTATGTTTCAAATGTCTACACTGGGTTAACTTAGCATCTTAGCCCAACACAACAGATGGAAGAGGAACTCTTTCAGAAAAAGGAACAGACTGCATGCTATTTTTTCATTTTTCCTTCCCTATCTTTTCATCTGTTTCACTTTGTGTTATGAAGTACAACCTTAAAGAATGAAGAGTTTTATTTTTAAGAGTGGAGAATATCACAAACCACAGGGAATGGCATGATAGGTGGCCTTTCTAGCTTCAACAAATGAATGAAAAAAGTGCTATTATGGAATGCATAACATAATTTGAAACTATTTAAAAATATAAAAAATGACTATGGTGTTAAAGTAAAGATGAAGTGAACAATATGTCCTTGACCAAACACAATAGCACATATACAAGAAATGCTTCTTATATTCAGTGCCATAAACATACTGTATATTGCCTAAATTAAAAATGTGTTTGGATTAGGGGGGAAATATATACATTAGATAATAAACATTTACCAAAAAATCTTATGACAATTACAATCAGACTATATGTTTAAACTGCAGCCCTATATTCATATTTGAGAGGTAAATTTGAATGAATTTACCTACTTCTTACTAACTTAAAATTATTAGAAGACTGTGGCTTTCTTTGCTAACACCAAAGAAAGCAACAGGTGCAAAGAGTAAATTTGGCATAAAATAATTCATATGCTATATTTAGCTCTTCTGAATTATTTCAAACTACATAAATATTGCATATCCCAATGCTAGCAGAGTTATGAGGAAAATACAACTGAACCATTAGGTTTGCTATCTTAATATGCTAAATAGATTCTGCCTATTAATGATGCTCCACATGTATCTATCACTACAATCCAACTACATACATGGCAGTCAGACAGAATATCAGAAATACTGTATCCTTTCTATGTCTTATCATACCCATTAACTAATAGCTGCACAATGCAGTAAATTATGTGGGAGTACATTCCTCATTGTTGCCTTCAGAAACTTAACAAAGGATTCCAAATATGTTAAATCCCAACATTATGATTTCAAGTATTTGGTCTTCCCCATTCCCTGGTTATTATAAAATACTATCTGATCTAGAGTTTGGAACAGTTTGAAAACTTAATACTTTTTGTGTGATTTTGGTAGGCTTTAATAAAGATACTAATCAGACATGTTTTATTGCTCAATTCTGAACTAATCCTGCATACCTTTTCATCTTATTGATATACAAGATTAAATAACATAAAAATATTTTAAACTTGACATAAATGTTGTGCACAAAGAAAATAACTGTTCAGTTAGGCCACAGTTTCTACTTAAAAAGCCAAGATATGAACATACTTCAGAAGCAATAAATATACTATATGTATAAACAAAATAACTGGTATTTCATATCATTAGAATTGATTGTGATTGACCAAATAACATCACTATCTATTAAGGTGAAATTCAATGCTTCTTTTAACTACACAATTCTATTTAATTAATTTCTTATCATAAAGATGACAAGAAAGCATGTGATGTAAGATCTGAAGTGAGTATATAAATTCCAAAATCAAGATATTCAAATATTGTGCAGTTAACCATTTAATACTCTAAACTCTTAATCCTGACTTCAAAATGGTGGTGAATAAGGGAGACAATACAATACAATAAGGCTTGTCAAAAATCATGTTTTAATTGTAAATGAAGATATTTAGAAAATATTTGTAAAATATTCTATCCTTCCTAAATGTGTAAATAGATTCCACCGCTATAACAATCTTAAAATCTCTCTATGACAAACTGCAGTGTGCTACGTTTGATATGATTAAGGCAATAGGCTAGAAACTGGGATACTTTGGGCCAGTCTCTTTCTCTCAGGCCCAGGAAGGAGGCAATGGCAAATCACTTCTGAAAAACCTAGTCAAGAAAAACTGCAGGGACTTTTCCAGGAAGTCTCAAAGAACTGGACACAAGTCAATGGAAGGAAAAAAACTTCTTTGTTTCAGAATTTAAATATTTACCATAATACATTAAACATAAATAAAAATGGTTTGTGATAAAATTCACTTTTTTTTTCAAAATCCAATACTCTACTTCATTACTGCAGCTGAAAACCTAGACACACCTCATTGCTTCCCAACTAAATGGCCTTTTAGGGGGATAATTGATACTTGGGACAAATATATCTAATAAGAAAATGTAAACATTTCAAGCAGAATTCTTCCAAATGTTATTTTCCATATTCTGAAAAATGAGAAAGTTAAACATATCCCAATTCAATAAAATAAAAGCTGTATGGATGGATCAATCATCATATCCCTGTACTAAACTTGTTTAATACTGTTTAAAAAAAATGCTGCATCAAAAGCTAGATAGCATAGGAGTTGAAATGGTGGTTTTAATCTGTGAGATTTCCATTCAACCAAGGAACTCATTGTGCAATTATAATCCAGTCACTCTAAGCCACTCGCAATGTCACGTGATGTGTCGCGACATAACATGACTTTTTTTCCATTGCCAGCAATGGGGTGGGCGTGGTTTCGCCATGACGCATCTGGCCTGCGGGCTGGCAGTTTGACACCTCTGCTCTAAGCCAAACCTCCATATAGTATCTTTGTTATTGTCTTACATTATTAGAAAAACTGTGGAAATATAAAGTAAGTATAAATAATGAAATGAACATCACAACCAAGAATACTGTACCTGTATTTCCCAAACTATCACATTCAAAAACATTTTGTGTATACACATACATACACACATATTGTATGTACTATTGTATGTATGATTCAAGTCATACATCTTAGCTGCAATCAATAAATCAGACAAGAAAGTACCACATCTCTCAAATTTGTTACATACCATCCAAATAAAAGTTCTTGTTCCCAGATTATTCTACCAATGCTTATTGTCATGATATATTCAATGTAGAACATCAAGTTATAAGCCATGATTTACGAGCCATATTTTCAAATAAAATAATCCTCAAAACCCCAACTGATTTCACTCTCTTGTAAAGTTACTTGTGCATAATCTACAATTCATGGCTGATCCCATCAAATCGAAAAAACATTTTCAACTCCATATTAGCAATGAAGTATGGCTTTATGAGCAAGCCTATAAATTCTCATTGGCTCTGACTTCATACTAATTGTACTTATAGGTAGTTATGTGAACAGTTTGTGGAGATTTTAAGATAACCTTTTTAAAAAGGGTTGGAGAACATGTAACCTCTAAAGTTGGTACTCATTAATACCCATTGGTTTCAGCCAACAAGAACAGTGGTAGATTACGAAAGCCAAGGTTCAGCTATATCTCCTAAAACCACAGATTTACAACATCTGCAAAAGATTACATTTCCAACACAAGACATATAAAAATAACACTTACTCTGTTTTCCTTCTCAGCTTGTCCTCAAAAATATCATTTAAATTAATTGCCACTTGTCCCAGAAACTTATCAAGCCCAACAAGAGACCTGTGCATGACTATCAGGTAGAGAATGTATTTTTCAGAGTTCCCTTCCATCAGCAATCCAGGCAATTCAAATGAAGCTTCTTCTTTCCATATTGGATCAAGGGTTTTCTCCGCCACTGAAGTGGAGTATTTCTCTTTTCCCAATTGTATGATAGTGTATGTATCATTAGTGCCACCTTTGCCCTTTGGTTTGAGACCTTTGGCCTGAAGGACTGTGACCTGCACATGAGTTGGGAACCACTTTTGAGCTTGCTCTGCCAACATAGTACCGAAGGGGAAATCTTGAGTAACAATAGCCACAAAAATAAATACTGGGTCAGAAGATATATTTCACAATGGGAAAGCCTGATAGAGCCTTTCAGATAACTAAGCAACACTCATTTTTGAGATTCTTATTCATTCAGCAGCATTAATGAAATGGGCCAGGTTCCCTAACCTACCTGACCGTCCCCCCTTCAGATTCTTTTCTCCGATATTAATTTTCAGCATTCCTCTGTGATCTTAGAGGTAGTTCTGCTTCTCCATACTTCCTCTACTCAGGACAGTATTTGATTTTACCCTCTATCCACCCGATTTTCACTCACACCCAAAGGCCCACCGGAGACTACGACCTTTAAATAATAACAAACATATCCCCCCCCCCCCCACACACACAAACTACAAATTGCCCTGGCTAACACCCGTCAAGATTCCTCTGCATCCTCTCCAGCAAACCCTGCTCGCAAAGCAAGCTACACCTCTTAACAATGCGAGCAGAGGGTGCGGGTGTCGGGCGAGAGTTTGGGTCTGGCGAAGACACGGAACAAGCTCCTGCTGAGGAAAACTGGACCCACTCCACCGAAGCCGCCCTCCCCGGTACAGCTTTCTGGGGGTCCCTCGATATCCCCGGGGTTCGGAAAAAAGGGCTGGCGAGAGAAAGACGCCTCGGAAAACGGGAGGACAGCTGTGCGGAGGCTCAGCAGCGCGGTCGCCCAGCCACCTCCTTTCCTTCGGCCGAAACGCTCCAACCGCCGAGCCGAGGCCCCACTTCCGCCTTCCCCATGTTGCCTATATGGGCGCCGCTGAGTGGGAACAAATGAGCGGCGCCGCCTCTTTCCTTAGGCGGTCAGAGGGCGAAGGGTAGGGTTCAGGCGGGCCAGCCGCTTCCCCTGCCCTGACTCGCCGGCTTCCAGTGGGCCCCGTGGTCGACCGGGGGGGGGGGGATCCGGAAGGATGGCGTGGTCACACACAGCTTTCGCAGCCCAGCGGCCGCGCGAGCCACTCCTCAGGCCATCGGTTGGACTGAGCCCCTATGCAGAGACTGGACCCTCTGCATAAGGACCGCTTGCAAGCTGGACTGTCCTGGATGGAGATTTCATTTCTGGCTCGCGTCTTCTTTTTGCCTGCCGTGGCTTGGTTGCAATGCAGTAATCGTTCAAGGGGCTTTTGGGATGGATTCGGTTTTAAAGATATTCCTGATTGGTTGGTAAAAACTTTTTTTTTTTTTGGCAGGATCCCATCTAGACCGGTCACCGGGACTAGAGGTTTTGTCTTCCGAGGTTTCGGACTCGTCCTGGAGCCCACTTTTTTTTCTTTTTCTTTTCTTTTTTGTCTCGATCATGCTGAAGTATCAAAGACACTACTACACAATGTACATAATATGGGCATGTTTGAATTGCATAAGGGCAGGCAAATTACAGCGAGAATGGAAAATAAACTGATCAGGAATAGCATAGCAAATTAAAGAAGAAAAACATGAGTTAATAATATTTACTAACTAATGGAATGGTGGACATAATAAGGAAACTTGGAAACACCTTCAAAATGCTGAATTTTGTTGAGTTGATGTAGTTTAATAGTTAAGGTATTCAGTGAGAACCAAATTCAGGTTTCCGTATCTCTTTAGAAATCACTAGTGATATGGGGACAGTTTTAGCCCAATCTGTTCAACAAAATGGAAATGGAGATTAAATGAAAAGAGATCCAAATATGTCAATTTGTGCCCCAGAGAAAATGTAGGATGATGATGATGAGTCAAAAAAGTAGAGTGAAGTGAGTCCCCAAGCCAAATTTTAAAAAAGAAAGCCATGACCGACATAACAATAGTGACATATGTTGGGTTCACCTTGAATATAGAGACCATGATAAAGGCCTTGTAAGAAAACCACAAATTTAAAAATAAAGCCATGTTTATTTAACTACTCTAGGAAAATATATTTCAAAACATGAAACCAATAAAAGTGTATGCATTCTGCAAATACATTCTAGATGATGGAATACCAACCTACAAGGTAATCTGTAGCTTAGGGATTTTGGCTTGAATAAAATACCGTGATGTGACTACAGTTGGGGCAAAATTGGACTTTTGTTTTGCTTGTATATTAGCTGTCAGAATTGACTGATACTGTTGTTGCAATTAATTGGGAATATTGTATGTGGCATGAATGTGATTAAGAGTAGTAGCCTAGTCTACAACTTTTATTGAATCTGATATGTGAAAGGTTTAATTAACCAAAGCCCTGATGACTAGCAGAGATCAATATTTGTGGCCCTATTGTGCTGATATGTTATTGAATATTTCCAGATTCCAAGCAGTTTATTTCAGTTAAAAGATTATTCAGTAGAAATTAAAATGTCCACAGTAGAAAATATTACAGAGTATCCTGCAGCAAATATATAATACAGATCAATGTCTGATGCAACAGATGAGTGCCTCTTTGACCAACTTTCCACAAGGCCATCAATGGAGAGGAGGCTCTTCTTAAGTGTAGGTGGTATGCCTGAAATACTACTTTTACTATCCTCCGGTTCTCTTCAAGCTCATGGGTACTGCCAGTTTGTTTCTCCTGGGAGAATTGTATTGAAACGTTGATTTTTGGAAGTCATGGGCACCAAGCCATATAGGCTTTGTAAGTTAAAACTATCTCCTTGAATTTTCTGTGGAAACAATTGGCAACCATTATAGGGACTGCTGTATAAGTGCAATATGTCTATGACAATGAATTAAAAAAAAACACTACAGTTTTGAACCAACTGTTGTTTCTGAGTTGTCTTCAAGGCAGCCTCATGTAGAGAATAGAGCAAAATGGTGATAATATCAAGAATTACCCAAGTCCTCCAAGTAGAGATGTATTCTTCCTAGTCACAACTTCCATCTGTGTACCCCAACAGCAGTTCTGTCTTGGCTTGGCTCAATTGTAGTCTCATTCATCCCATTAAGACCTCTGTTGCCTCCAGACACTGAGATGAGATGGAACAGCTGGGCCCAGAATAACAATAAATACATACATTTATCATAGAGCATCCTGAATCAATGAATGACATCTGGTAGCATCCAACCCGAACACAAACTGAAAACGTGTAGATAATCTACCTATTCTAGGGCGCTTTGTAAATCAGTTCCCACTACATATTCAACAACCTATTTCCTCAAAAGTTGGAGCCTGGATAAACACTATCAATAGGGCAATGAGTAGGACTCAGGTCTTTGGCAAAATCCCCACATGCCTTCCAAAACCCTCCAGATTGATCGAATACTTACAAAGACCCACCTGATGGACCCCCAACTCTGCAGTGGCAGTCAGTCTTAATTGGCAAAAGTAATGCCATCAATATCCAAACCACAGCATAATTTCTCTGATGCGAAAATGAGATCCAGGATACTTTTAATGGCATGTATCAATCCATTACAATTGTATGTAGGCCATGAACTCTGACATTTCCTGAATAGTTGAAGTCACTGAACACCAAAAAGTAAGGAGACAAACTTCAATCTAGATGTTAATCTAGATGAAGAAAGACGAAGGTAGCAGGGCAACAAAATGTCTGATATACCAGTAAGATCACATTTTGTCTCTATGGCCCAACATAGGCTTTACATACGTTTTTTCAGGAATAGGGTCGTGGAATATAAAAGTGTCCTGGAAGGTCAAATTAATTATCCCTACAGCGTTCAGCTCAGAGTTGCTGTAAGACCAAAAGCCCAGAAATGCAAAAAATAAATGTGTACAAAAGCAGGAGAAAGGGAAAGAGTTAATAGGTCTGGGTGAAAGTGTTCTGATCTTGTGGAGTGCAGTTAATGAAATAAAAAGGATATCTGTGGAGATTCAACTGTAAATGAATGAATTATAATGGCTTGGTGACTTGCTTCGAAAAACATGTTTTAAACATAAATCGATTCACTTGGGAGATGGAAAAGGAATGAATCAAAAAGCTTGCCTAATTTTAATTTTTAGGATGCAAGACTGAGACCATAGTGAACACTGAGAAGTCTGAATGTGGGACAGAACATCTTTGATAGTATCTAGAGTAGATCTCTTAAAAAAATTAATATTAAAAAATACTAGTGAAAGAAAGTAGAGTAAAATGATAACTAAATACAGGAAAATAAAGTATTGTAGTGGAAGCAAAATTAATTTCCCAACAGAACAAATGGAAAATAAGTAAAAGTAGACTCAAGGAAAGGATATGTAAGCTGCATGAAATAGAGTGCAAAGAGGTGTACTGCAGAGTGCCACAAAAGTGCATGGAATTAACACTAACAACTATTGTATGAAAAAGGATATTGGATGGAGTAATGAAGTAAAAAAAGACTGGATGAGAAAATGGACATTAAAATGATATTAAGATATTAAACATTATGCATAGAAAGTATTAAATAATGTATATATAAAAGATATTAACAAAACTGGGAGGGAGAATACTTAGCAATTTTGTGAAATAAAAAAATTGTTCTTGAATTTGGTAAAGAAGGCTATACATGCTTTCAACAGAATGAATGTAAGAATAAAAGTGAAGTCATTTGGAATGAATGGAATAAAGCAGGAGTGTCCAGCCTTGGCAACTTTAAGACCTCTGAACTTTAACTCCCAGAGTACTGCAGCCAGCCATGAGATGATTTAAGATTGTTTCACTTACGGTCTGAAGAAGAGATGAAAACAATCTATGCAGCCAAGGGGAAAGAATAGCATTTTAACATGTTCACTGCATGTTTGAATAGATAGAGAGATAATTTGCACTCCTGTTTAACTATGAACTGTGTTAGAGCTTTTTAGTTTGATTATCTTTCCTTCCATTAACAAGACTAGTGTTTCTGTAATCTTTAAATCTCTTTATTAGAAATAAAAATCATTGTTTGCTGTAAAGCAAAGCTTGAGTTTATGGTCTGAGGATTGTTGGTTCATTCTTCTGGAATTAAAAAGGCAAAATGTATATGTGATAACCACAAATGAATCTAATAATTATCCAGTGCACAATTAGATGATGTAATGGGATTTAAGTCAACAGACCACAAAACCACAATGTTAGCCTGCAGAACTTTCAAAAAAGTGCTCACATCATCAGCCCTTGATTAGCATGCATTTCTGTCTATAAACACATATTGTGAAATATTTTTGTCTATAAACAAATATTGTGAAGTATTTGAAAGGTAAGGCAAAATGAAAACCAATGAAAAGTTTATATTGTTTCAATGGTACAAGGAATATATTAGCATTTTTCCAGTATGTGTATGTGAACGTATGTTTTTGTATGGAATTTACGTTCAGGAAAAGAATGTAAAATTGAAGGCGTCTACACCTTCATGACTCAGTTACTGTGGCGATGAGTGCACTGCTGGAAGACGTAAAAGCAGTGGTGGGATTCAAATATGTGAACAACCGGTTCTTTGTGTGGATACAGCTTCCAGAAGTCCATTCCAGGCCTGGGCAACAAAAATTAGCTACTGGTTCTGCCGAACTGATGCAAACTGGCTGAATCCCACCACTGCGTAAAAGACAAGTTTAAGGACAAATCTTCATGGGAATAATCCAGCTGTATGGTTGCTAAAAGTCAACAGTGTCTTGATGGCACCTTATCACACTTTATGAAAATATTTTGGTTCTTTAAAAATGATTCCCCAGTATATAGAAATATATATCTACTGGATGCAATCACATTTCTCCTTAACTGAGCAATATTACATTTTTGATATCAAAAGAGTGTTTCATGAGAATCTTTGGAAAGATACTATTCAGCTAATGACCATTAACAAATTCATGGGTACATGTTAAATCAAATCATAGTTTGCTTGTTTATGCCTTAATGTTTAAACTCAGTCATTAAGGTTAGTAAACTTTATTGAATAAATTAAAGTTAAAAAAACAGGACATAAATTGTATGAAAAAAAGCTGTAGTTGTACTGATCTGGAAACCCATAAAA